ATGGCACCAAGTCTGGCTTGACAGACATGGGCCCATGTCCAATGGCAGGTAAGGGACCGCCCCTTCACCAAGCGCATAAAGTCCCAGCACGCACTACCTTTCCTCAGTGAGCATATTCGCTTCTCGTGCAGCAAGCGGGGCAAACTTGGTGGATCTCTCCACTCGATGTTTCAGAGAACTGGGGTTACGAACAGTAACCTATTGTTCTCTTTCATCATCTTGTGTTCGAGATCCACCTATGGGAGATATGGACAACTCCCCGATTGCCCAATACACTCACAGCGAGGCCCTGTAAGCCAGAGGACGGTCACCTGAAAAGGCGGTACTTGACACGTCACCAAGTATCAGACCCCCCAAAAAGTGGGAACACAATAGCCACCATAACAAATGACGTGGTAACATGCATACAAAACCTGACACAGACCTCATGCTGAAGGAGTATATTATAGATGTACATATATATAAATATATAATTTATGTCAGGGGAGGGTACAGATGACCTGCTTAATGACATGAATAAGCCGAGCTGAACAACCCAGGCTTAAAAGGTGTAGAGAGTCTAAGAGCACAAGGCTATGAAGAACCCACACCTAAAACAGAATGAGCTACAGAATGAGTCTGGGTAACATCAAGCCAGTAGTATCTGACAAATGTATGTGGTGAGGCCCAACTTGTGGCACAAAAGTCTTGCAAGGAAACCCCTTTAAATAGGGCCCAGGAGGCCGCAATGGCCCTAGTGGTATGTGCTCTGAGGCTCCCTGGAGGCCGCACTCCCTTAGATTCATAAGCCAAGGAGATGGCTTCCACAAGCCAATGAGAGAGGCGTTGCTTAGAAATGGGATTCCCCATGTTCAGGGGGGCCCAAGAAATGAAGAGCTGGTCACTTCTTTTGAAAGGGCTGGTCCTGTCTATGTACACCCGCAGGGCACGAACAGGACACAAAGCATTCAGCCTCTGATCCTCCGCAGAGGAAAATGGAGGAGGGTGAAAAGCGGAAAGCTCAAGCACCTCACAAGTGAAAGCTGGAAAGCATTTAGGCATAAAGGCCGGATTAGGCCTGAGAAAGACCTTTTCTCCACTGAGAGAGAATTTAGTGCACGAGGGATGAACAGAGAGAGCGTGCAAATCACTGACACGTTTGGCGGAACCCAAGGCCAGGAGTAGAGCTGTCTTGAAAGACAGAAGCTTAAGGGAGATATCTCCCAGGGGCTCAAAAGGCTGTTGAAACAAGGCCTCCGGCACCATGGAGAGGTCCCATTCTGGAACTACCCTTTTAGTGACTGGAAGGGAACGGCGGGCACCCTTCATAAATCTACGAATAAGGGGATGTTGCCCCACCGTGGTGCCATCAAACCCAACGTGACATGCAGCGATAGCCGCTAAGTAGGGCTGTGCGATTAATCGAAATCGCGATTTGAGACGTTGCGATTTCCTAATCGCAAAGTAAGTAAATCTTAATAGTGGAGAAGGATTTCCCATCATCGATAAGGTCTTGCAAAAACCCCAAAATGCCAGCGACTGAGCACTGATATGATATCAGCTGACGCCCCTCACACCACTCCTCAAACACACGCCACTTACAGTCGTAAAGGGAGCGTGTAGAAGAGGCTCTAGCATTCTGAATAGTAGCAACAACACGTGGGGGGAGACCCAATGTGTTTAAGTTTGCCTTCTCACGGGCCATGCCCAGAGGGCCACCCTGTCCGGGTGAGGATGGTAGATTTCCCCGTTCGCTTTGGACAGGAGGTCTGTGCGTAATGGGAGGGGCCACGGCTGGACATACAGAAGAGGGATTATCTCTGCCAGCCATGGAGATTTGGGCCATTTGGGTGCTATCAAAATCAGAGTCAGGCTCTGATCTTTCACCCTGGCCAGAGTAGGAGTTATTAGGCAGAGTGGAGGAAATGCGTAGAGCAGCACCTTGGGCCATGTTTGGGCCAGTGCATCCACACTGAGGGGGGGCATCCTTGCCCCGTAGGGAGAAGTACATAGGACAGTGGCCATTTTTGCGCGAGGCGAAGAGATCGACGCCCACCTGACCGAACCTCTTCCACAACAGACCCACTCTCTGAGGGTGGAGGTGCCATTCTCCGTAGAGTGGGTTCCCCCTCGACAAAAGGTCTGCACCCCTGTTCAGAATGCCCGGGACATGGGTCGCCCGTAACGACAAAAAGTGCCGCCTGCTCCATACTAACAGCTTGTGAGCTAGAGCATGAAGCTTTGAGGAACACATCCCACCTTGGCGGTTGATATAAGCCACGGCTGTGGTGTTGTCGCAACGCACAAGCACATGATGTCCCTGCTTTAGAGCCTTCCAAACAGTAAGGAGCTCCAAATAATTAATGTGGGCTGAGTGGAGTGTGCTCGGCCACACACTGTTCTGCCCTCCTGCGTGGCTCCCCATCCTGTTAAGGACGCGTCTGTCGTTACCACTTTCCGCAACTTGATGGCCCCGAGGGGGGTCCCCTGAGTGTATAACTCTGACAGAGCGGCAGAGATCGCGTAATGGGCTGAGATGAAGAGATAAAACCCACTTCATGAACGCCC